GCGGGCGGGTTGCATAGTACAAAAGTGCGCGGCGTGAATCAGCCACCTGGTATTTATGGTAGTCAGAGGGCAGTGAAGAAGGTTGCTGCCACTTCGGGTGAACGTCGTCTCGACCGTCGTCTCGACCCTGGTGCTGTGGAGCGCGTGTGCGGCGCTGTGCGCTGGAGCGAGCGGCGTGTCCGAATGCAGTGGGCCCCGCAGTGGAGACCCTCTCATGAGCCCGGAGGCCAGAGGCGCCAAACCGGAAAGCCGGAAGCGATCGGCTCGCCAGGGGTGTGTGCTTCCAGCGGCTTCCAGGCGAGCCCGGCGAGCCTCGGGGCGCACGGACCACCTACTCGATTGACCGACCATAGGGGCTAACGATCACTCAGTACATAGATGTCGTGTGTGTCATCCAAATCTTAACGTGCGTCACTTCAAAAGATGTGTTATTGAACTTAGTGCTTTGCCCTTGTGTTGAGAGTTAAGAGCAATACGCTCGCAATAAAATCCAGCACACGAAAAATCTACTGAAATTAAGATCCGAGGGGTCCCCCACTTCAAAAATAGGTGTACAACGAGTTGGCAAGTTGACGAGTTGCCGCGAGTAAGGCTCGAGTTGGGATCAATTTGTGGAGAATTTTGCGCTATTTTTCACAATTTTTTTGTGAGTTGGCGCGAGTTCTCGTGAGTTTGACGCGAGTTGGGTGCGGGCAAGTGTACAACGATTTGGCTAGTGGGGGACCCTTCGGTGAGATCACATTTCTTTTTTTTTTATTTGTACCAAATGTTATACGAGATAGAGTTTTGTGACATCCTGCCATACACAAACAGGTAGGTGGTGTTCGGCGTAATACTCGGTGTGTAAAAGTCACCCCAAATATTAACTGACCTTGCTTATGGTGTTGCTCATTGGTGTTATTGAAACTGTCACCTTTAATGAACACACTCGAATACGTTCTCAAAGGCAGTATGCGCCCGTGAGAAAGCCCCCCTCCCCTCCTCCGCTCCCCCACCACACTTTGTCCTCGCACACACACACACACACACACACACACACACACACACACACACACACACACAAACGCGCGCGCGCGTATGCGAAATTAACCGGCACGCATGACAGGGTGCCCTGACCCCGCCCTCGGACCAAAACAAACAAAAGAAAGAAAGTAGACTGGCAAAATGAGTGCTACTGTCTCGCGAGAGATTAAAAATCTACTCCAACGTGTGAGTGAATGTGTTGTGTGTGTGTGTGTGTGTGTGTGTGTGTGTGTGTGTGTGTGTGTGTGTGTGTGTGTGTGTGTGTGTGTGTGTGTGTGTTTGTTGATTGCGTCACTGCCGCCGCAGCATGCGGGAGTATGTGAACTTCTGTGGGAATGGCATATGAGTGTATGTGTCTCGCCGGCTCCTTACCTGCCGACTGTACTCTGTGCGGAGGAAAGAGAACTTTTCACCCGTTGAGTTCCGATCGTTCTGATATAGTTTGGGAAGAGTAGTGTCGATCGATCGATTTAAGGAAAGCATGGCCTCACAATGATATCCCGTCATTTGTCTCACGGAGTAATGCTACCTCAGTCAGAAATGCTACATCTAGTATGGCTAAGAACCATGTCGACACTGACAAAAATAGTCAATTTGATTGGCAATAAAGAGGAATGACTATCTTGGCTTCGTTTTCGGGTGGAGGGAGGGTGAGTCAAACTCCCAGTCCAATTTTTTTTTTACTGATCAAAGTCCTCCAGGAACTCTCTTTTGGTCTGCGCTGATGTGTCGTGCTTAAGGATAAATCGAATTCCGGCACTTCTACAGCAGTTAGTTTACCAAACTATACACCCTACACGTTCCGTACTCTAAGCTTAGCTAAATGATTTTTTTCACATTACTATTTTTCGGGTATCGCAGAAATGGCGTTTTGTTAGGGTATCCGATTGTGGCCGAGACTGGCGCAAAGAACGCCGGGCGGCGCGAGCGGCTGTACAACACAAAGCTAAAGTGTGAAAAGTACGGAGTGCGTCAACAGCGCGGCGAGGCCCCAAAATACAGAGTGCGGGGTGTGAGCTGGGCCTGGGCGGCGCGGTCGGCCGGAGCGGCTCCTGAGGAGCAACGACTTAAATATCTTGTTAGGGAAGCTCGGTGAAGGCTTAGAACATTGTGTCACTCCAGTGAAAGAGCTTATTTTCTGTCAAGAGTAGTTACTGAAAAATAGTCGTAGGTT